TCAGCAAGAATCTGGCCACACACACATGTGACTCACACCAGCAGGTTTCTCAAGTGTTTTTCAGACTTGAAAGAATGCCAACATCATTATAAAAGAACTCCATTCTCAGATATTGTAATTGGGATGTCGCTCCATTGTGCTATTTTCATGAAGGAAAAAAATAATATTTATTCATTTTTTTCTGATTCCAGAAGCAATATGTTTATTGGATAAACAGCTGGAAACTTAGAAATGCATTAAGAACAAAATTGAAATTGCTCACAAGGTGACCATTTATTCACTCAGCAATTTTGCACTGAGCTCAGACTCCTCATTGCCAGGTCTGCTCTGGGCTGTGAAGGTGAGCACAACGGGCAGGGCTCATGTTCCCATGCTGCTCGTGGGGAAGCACACAAGGGACAAATCAATAAGCATAGGTATGTCAGGTCATGATCAATACATGGAGGAGAATAAACAGGGCAAGGGGAACAGGGAAACTACTGCAGGGTGACATTCCAGAAAGCAGCACAGTGAACTTTTGGATGTTTTTCCTTCCTATCTTCTAACTATACATTAACATTTTTATTATTGGTTGCAAGTTTTCAGATAAAACTTCTTTAAAATAAGTATGTTTTTCTTTAAAAAGTAATACTTGTTCATTGTAGGAAGCCTGGAACATTGTAGAAAACCTGCAAGGGAACTTTAGAGAGAAGACGAATCCCCCACAATAGAACTACTGTAGGATAATTCTTCTAGGTGTAGTGTACATCTCCCTCCTGGTACAGTTCTCAGTTGCTAAACTCACATGGTATTTGCACCATTGAACCATAAACACTACCCCATGCTGGTCAGAGGCCTGAGAGAGAAAGTACCAGAGGCCACTGTTTCCCTCCTGTGAAGGAAATGGCCTTCAGAGAAGCCCAGATTGCTCTCCTGTCTGGCTACCCAGGTGCCACCCCATCTGGGAAGACCCTGATCTCCTCCATTCAACCTGTCACTAAGAGAGCTTGAGACAAAGGATAAGTCCCTGATGCCCAGAAGTCAAGACTCAGGCAGAAGGGCCATCTTGTGTCAGACCCAAAGGGAGTTGACATTGCAGCAGAGCCAACTGTTTGTTTTAGAAATAGAGGTGAGGGAGGGCAAACCCCCAGGAAAGTCAGGCGGAGCCAAAGAGAAAGGAGGCTTTGGCAGCAGGAATGGAT